AGATGGGGGTCTCACTTTGTTGCCCAGGGTGGTTTCAAACTCCTGGGCACAAGCAACCTTCTGCCTCGGCCTCCCAAATGCTGGGATTAGACGTGAGCCACCATGCCTGCCCCAGTCTCATCGTTCAAAAGCCCTTGGATCTTTAATCAAAGGTCTGCGGCCCCTATTAATCTAGACTTCTTTTAGAATGTGGGAATACTTGGCATCAATCTCTCCCCTGCAGAGTCCTGGTCACCAAAGCTGGGGCTACAGGGAGAGCCTTCTCATCATACAGGGACACTGATCCTTACCAACCCTCTGCTCTGTGCCTGCCCGCAGTGCCAGACGCTGTCACAGATCCCTCCAGCAGCCTCATGGTTGTGTGTGTGTAAGTGTAAAGCTCTATCGGAGTGTGTGTGTGTGTGTGTGTGTGTGTGTGTGTGAACTCCCCCTGCGTTTAGAGTCCCATGTTTCTTGGAAACCAGTTAGAATAGTATACCAGACAAGAAAATATTTCTCTTATTTGCATTTCCCCACCTTCCTTCCCTGTTCACTTAAAATAATAAATGTCCAGCCCCTTCCCTGTGCCAGGCACTGCTTGGGTCTCTGCCCTCAGGGAGCTCACAGTCCAGTGCAGAAAGCGGCTCTACCAAGCACCCAGGTGCTGGGCGTTACATCAGGGCTCCAGCAGGCACTGTGGAGCATCCAGAGGTGCCGTTAGTCCAGTGGGGAGAGGACGGGCAGTTGCAGCACAGAGCAGAGAGGGGTGTAGAGAAGGGCCCAGCCCTGATCCTGGTGCTGCTTTGTGACCCAGCAAGTCACCTTTCCTCTCTTGTCCTCAGTTCCTTACTGCAAAGTGAGAGAGTCAGACTAGACCAGCAGTTTCTCCACATCCTCTCGGAGCCTGGGCAGGAAGGGAGCGGGCAGGTGGAGCTCTTGCCCGAGACTCTTCCACTCAGGCTGCCTGTCTCCCCCGTTTTGTGTTTCACTTTCCAGGTCAGTGTGGCTTAGCCAAAGGATTCTGTGGTTGGAAAATGGGTGGATACTGCCTGCGGAGATGTGCTCCTTGACCATGCCACTCTGATGGTCCGTGACCCTGACACAGGCCAGCTCCAGACAGCAGATCCTGGGTGCTGGATGGTGGGTCCAGCGTGCCACTGAGCCAGCCTGACTCCCAGCCCCCAGCACCTGTGGCTACGGTCCCACCCTCTGCAGCCCTGCCATTGGTCCAGCCATCAAGGACATCTGGTTGGTTGGGGCCAAGAATAAAGGCTCTCCCCGCAGGAGTTCTCAAAACCAGACAGACCGGGGACCAGGCAGGATCAGCTCTGAGCTGGCAAGAGAGAAAGAAAGACAGATTGGGAAAGAAGTGACTGCTTTCAGATTCAAGAGTGGCTGGGACATGGGTTGTCAAGGGCTTTCTCAGTTCAGAGGAGGAAGTGAGAATGGGGTGCTGGATTCTATCTTTGCCTTGACCTCTCAACTTTTGGAGGAAGACAAGAATTTTTTTCCTAGATGTTTCTCGGATTAAAAAGAAAAGATGAGCAGCATATGTGTGGGGCAGGGGTGCTTCCATTTGCTAACACAGGTTACAGAAGGCCCGAAAGGCACCCTGGTCTCAGGTTGGAGTCATTAGAGACCAGTTTTGGAGCCAACCTAACTGTTGGCACCTGCTGTCTAGATGGCAGCTATAGGGAAGGGAAAGGGGCGTCAACCTTGGCCTCAGACCTCGTTCAAAATCCAAATCTGTCACCCACTAGTTACATGACCTTGAAGAAGTTGCTCCACCTTTCTGAATCATAGTTTCTCTATCTGCGAAATGGGAATGATCCCACTTACTTTGCAGCATCCAGATCGAGATGGAAGGTCATTAACATTGCATCAGTGCCCACTCCTGTGGGGGTCACGGAATAGGTGGTCATTCTTCTCCACGTCCATGCTGTCCCCCAGTCCGCTATCCTCTGGGAAAACTCTGGGCGTGAAAGGACCCAGAATGACACGCACGGGCCCCACTGGCCCTGGAGACCTGGCTGACGTTTCCTTTAGGAGAGACCTGCAGAGAGCAGGATTTTAATGGCCTTGTGTGCAGGGGATGATGTTTATGCCCCAGAGATTTAGAACCGCTTGGTAAATGCTGAAATGCTTTTTAGAAGTTTTAAAAATTAATTTAGCAGCCATGAAACTCCTTAATGGGCCAGGGAGAGGGTTTAGGAATGCCAGAAGCCTGAAATCCTTTCTGTATATGGGATGTCTTTGCTGATCCGCCATCAGTGGGCTTGTCATCTTTGACGTGCTTCCCAGAGAGACTGGCATGTCATTTGGTGACATTCACACTCTGCCGAGGTCTGCAGGATGATGGGTGAGGGTGGAGGATACCAGCTGGAGTCCTTGAGGTATTTTTTTGCTCTGTGGCCCTGGCCTCATTACCCCCTGTATTCTAATCAACCAAACCACCAGCCCCAGATGAGATGATTCACACTGTAGTTTCTGGTATCTGATTTTCCATCTATCAGAATTCTGCATTTATTGGCATGTCTGCACAGCAACCACAGCTCATACGATGTGTAATCTTACGATGCCTCGAGGTGCCGTGAGCGTCTGATTCACTAAAGATTTGGTTAGGCACAGTATTGCCTTTGTGTCAGGCCTCTCTGAACATGTTCTAACACTTTGACAGCTGGGCAGGCTCACGTGAGTTGACCAGAGCAGATCTGGGCTAAGACACAGGAGGCCTGAGTCTTAGGCTTGGTTCTGCCACAAACTTGCTACGTGACTCTGAGTAAGTCACTTTCTCTCTTTGGGTCTAAGTTTCCTCATCTATAAATTGAAATGTAATACTCTGGGTGCTGCCTGTCTCCCATAAAAGAAAGTAAAGATCAAAACAGCCAACCAACACCCTAAGGCTTTGAAAGTGAAAGGGGTTAATGTGTGGCTCCCCTCAAGTAAAAAGACTACGGTCATTATTAATGACTTCTGTTCACTCTTTTCTCCAACTGTGCTGGACAACAGAACGCACTGCATTCCAAAAAGTGATGCACAATGAATGCTTTACCTTTTGTGCAGAGAATTGGCTTCCGGGCCAGAATACTCGCAAGGGCAACAGGAGGGAAATGGCTTTGAAGCTCAGAGCAGAGAGACCTGGTGGCAGCCTGGACATGGAGTTTGGTAGACTCAGCCTCCAGGACCCCGAGACCTTTTCCTTGACGCAGTCTAGGCCGCCAGCGGCTCCCGGTGCCTCCCAGTTTGGTCTTGCCCATCTGTTCCTGAACCCTCTCGCTCTCACTAGACAGTCCTCTGAAGGGGCCAGAGGGCCTGCCTCCCGCTTGGCCGGGGACAACAGAATTGATACATCTGTAGCTTTTTGGCACTCCTGCATGTTAAATGCACCCACATCCCACATAAAATCTAACTTCTTTCCTGTTAGTTGTAATTTCCCAGTAATTATATCACACATGGGAATTTTTAGGAAGCGAGAGAACTAATCCATGCTTTGTTTCCAGTGGTTTGTAAATAATGGATGTCACAATGGTGGTGATGTCATATTGCATTCTGCATGGTAGCAGTTACACATGGATTATTATACAGCAGTGATCCGAACTTGCAAGAGGAATGAATGAATCTTACAAACATATGGTTGAGATAAAATAGGCAGATACAAAAAAGGACTTACTATTGACTTCCTTTAAATAAAGTTCAAAAATAGGCAATATGAATCTGTGGTGTTAGAAGTCAGGGCAGTGGTTACCCTCGGGGAAGAGGATAGTGATCAGAAGGGCTCTGAGCAGGGTTTTGGGTGCTGTGATGTTCTGTTTCTCAGTCTGCATGCTATTCATTTGTGAAGTTTCACTGAGCTGCACACGCTTTCAGTTGTACATATTTCTGCGTGCATGCTATATATTCGCTGATAGCTTAGCAATCTAAACATTTGTTGATTGTAAATTTGTACCTTGATCTCACATTTTGGAGCCAGTACTTATTTTTCAGGTTTCAGAACATTTTTTGGATGTCCCAGGACTCATGTATTTAACAGTCTGAGCAACAGAAAGAAAAGTTTCTTCTCCCTGGCCTCTCCAGGACATTTCTAAACTGTGAGATGGTCCAGGAAGGTCAGGGCCATGGGCTGTAGTAGAGAGGCCTTGCCAGTCATCACCCTTTCAAATTGGGAAAAGCTCACATCAGCCTTCCCCAAGCATCCTGGCCTTCTCTACCCAGGTGGCCATGACTGGCACTGATGGCCCATGGTGGTTATGTCCACACCATCACTTGGAATTTACTACATGTGTCCTCAGTTTCCCTGTTTGTCTTGTGCCTTACGAGACTCTTGAGGCTGGGGCCCATCACATTCTTTGTCTCCGTGACTCTCCAGCACCCAATACAGAACCCAGGTAGAGCAGGCATTCAATAAACATCAGTTCCAGCCAGGCACGGTGGCTCATGCCTGGAATCCCAGTGCTTTGAGGGGCGAAGGCAGAAGGATCACTTGAGTCCAGCAGTTAGAGACCAGCCTGGGCAACATAGTGAGACCCATAGTGGGAGGCTAAGCTGGCAGGATTCCTTGAGCCTGGGAGGTTGAACCCGCTTTGAGCTATGATCACATCCCTGTGCTCCAGCCTGGGCAACAGAGCAAAACCCTGTCTCAACAAATAAATAAATAAAACTAAATAAATATCAACTCCTTGACCTTCATCCTTGAATTTCTCTTTCCTACAGATACACCACCTGGATGGGTTCAGGCTTGGGGACATGTATAAGCTATGTGACCCTGGGGGCATTTGTTCCCTCCCTAAGTCTCACTTTACAATCCTAGCATCATGGAGCTATGGTGAGGCTCAGATGTGCTCACCATATGTGAGCTACGGTGCTCTCTCAGATGTGCAGGTATCCAGGGATAGTGTTGCCCCTGTGCCCTCGGGTGGCCTTCTCAATTCTTGCCTGATACAGGGTCTGTAAGAGGAGATCATGGAAGGAAGTGAGTAGCCCCTTCATCCCTCAACAGCACCGCAAAGAATCCACTCCTCGAAAAAGTTCAAAGAAACACTAGCAATTTATTGATTTTCTATATTTCCAAAAAAGCAAATACATTCGTGTATCACACAAGGAAACTGGTCCTGGCCAGCACAAGATTATTCTACAAGCAGGAAGCAAGGGAAGGGTGGGCTACAGGGAGGCTCCCAGGTCCCTCACAGCAGCCCTGGGCTTCCCTTCCCTGCCCAGCCCTGGCTGCAGTCTGGGTCCCTCCCAGCCATCCACCTCTCAGCCAGGTTTCAAGGTCACCGCCTCTTGGGTCCCTGGAGGGAGTGTGGAGTCAGGGCTGGTGGTATAGTCCCCACTGCAGAGGTGGCTGGTGGCCAGTGACTGGATTTGTCTTAAGCACAGGAGGTCCCAGGGGTCAGGGCTAGGGGCAGAGTCTGTGTCCTTCCTCATTTGGCCCCAAATTGGAACTTCTTATTTTGGGCATTGGTCCTGGTAGTGCGATGCCAATGTGGACTTAAAATCCCAAGACACGTGTTGGCTAAGATGAAGCCTGGCAAATTCCTGGTCTCTTTCTCTATGAAAAGCCCCTCTCGATTTTGCTCCTTCCAAAGTGACAGGCCTGGGTCAGAGGCCCAGATGACCTGAGCTGGCCTGAGAGGGAACGGGCAAGATCACCAAAGTCAAGCCTGCCCTAACTGTCCACCTGAGGCCCTGAGGCCCAGGAAGCTGCCTTGTTCCCAGGGCAGGGGCTGAGCCCACCGGGCTCTTCATCTTGCAGGGGTGGGAGGAACGTGCAGGAGGCCAGGGCAGTGCTAAGGGGAAGGGGCTCCCTCCCACCTGGGCTGGTAAGTTTCACATGGATTTCCCTCCCGCCCTGACTGGCTGAACAGCCCCTATCTGGAGGAGCTTCTAAGGCCAAGAACTCATGTCTCCTCTCTCCTCCAGGAAAACATGAGCTGCATGAGGACAGGGATGTGGTCTGTTTTCTTCTCTGACTGTGGTCTAAGTGCTTAGGACACTGCCTGGCACAGATTGGTGTGCCACAAATCTCTTTTAGGAGATAAATTTCTCTGGGTTCTGATGACAGCAGAGGAGGCACCCTGAAACCTATGCCCAGAACAATCCTAGGGAGACCAGCCTCCCACGTGGGACCCCAAGAGGGAGAGGTGGGCCAGGATGGGCCTCCCGGTGTGAGCAGACGCAAGGGAGGGTATGACAGACCCTCAGCACTGCAGCACAGCTGGCTGATGGCCAGGGACACCTCTCAGAGGACAGCGTCCTCACATGTCCGGCTTCTCACCCTCAGTTGTCATTCTGAGTCCACATCAGTGTTTTCTCGTTCTGATTGCTGGGGGGCAACAGGTGGGTTTGGACTTGGGGGTGGTGCAGAAGAGGAGACTTAGGAGGAAGCTGAGAAGGAGTGAGGAGGAAGAGCATCTTATATTTGTCTAGAGAAGGGCACAGACCAGGAAGTCAATTCCTCTCTACCACCAGCAATGCTAGCCCTGGAGGCTGAAGGTTGGAAGGAGCAAGGCTTGGGAGCCCTGGGTTCTGCTCGGTCTTAGTCTTCACCAAGGGCCGTCCACAGTGGGTTTCCTCATAAGGCCCTCGGGAGCCCTCCTGCTACTGCTCATTTGAAGTGCACAGAGTCCGGGTGCTCAATATGGCTGATGCCCCTAATGGGCCTGTTTATCACATCTCCTGGGGGTTCCGCAGAGTGGAGCCAGGACAGCTGGGTTCAGGGGAAGTGGGGGGCAGCCCCTGGCTGGGCTGTGGGCTTGCCGGTACTCTGATATGGCACTTTCCTTTCCCAGTCTACCTAAACTCCCCACCTCCAAGACTCCTGGGACCCCAAACACTCCCTCAACTGACTCACAGCAGGCTTGGTGGAAACATCTTCCTGGTTCATTTCTACCCTCCAACTCCATCCCACTAGAAGCTGGCATTCCAGCCTGGTATATGCCCAACCCTTCCTGTTCCCCTCTCCACGCCACTGGGAATATGAAGACCAAACAGCCATTCTCAGAACAGCTCTTGGGGAAGAGCTGCAATAAAATAGCTTTGGCTAAAAAATAATAATAATCAACAAATCATGTTTTACCTTCTTTCTCCTGCAACAGGTAGATGACAAGACCTCTGAATGCAGGCACTTTGGAGGTTGAGCCTGCTCTGATGGGCACACAGCCCAAGAAAATGGCAGGTACCACCTTTCAGCTCCTACTCCCCTGAGAAAGCCTCATTTGGCAAAGCATGCGAGCGTGTCCTGCCGTCCTCTGGAGCCTCACACCTGCCCAACCTCAGTCCTTGTGGCACGGCCTGAGGGCTGGCATCATCAGACACGCCAGGATTTTCCCATGAGATACACCAGACATCCCTTCTCGGAAAGTAGCCTTGTAAGCGGGGAGGCTGGCCCAGCCCCAGTTCCTCCTGCACCCCTGGAGACCGCTGGTAGGAAGCCCGCAGGACTCCTCCAAGGGCCTGACTGCAGAGATGCCCCTTGCCCTGGGACCATACATCTCAGGAACTATGAGCAGCTCACCAAAAAGCACGTTGTCCTTGCCTATGAGTAAGAAAGTGGAGAGTCCTTTCCACCACCTTAGGAGCTGCAATAAAATAGCTTTTTGCAGTTTGCAGTTATGCTTTAAGACACTCTCTCACACACACATGCACGCTCACACGCATGCACACACTTACATTATACACATATATATATACCATTTCTCAGAGGAAGAAATATTACATATAAGCCCCTTTAACTCAAGAAAGCCCCCTCCTGACCTCCCTAACCCCCATCGCCTGCCATTTCTCCCAAGGAAAAAAAAAAATTTAAAAACATTTCTGTTATCCACAGTTTCCAGGTTTCTTCTCAATTGCGTGTGAACTTTTCCAAATACTGCACAGGATGGACAGACTAACCCATCCAGAGAGGACTGAAGCCTACTCAGCTGGGTCACATCTTCCTGGAAAAGGAGAAGTCCTACAGTTAGCGTTTACAGTGACATGTTCCCACAGCACACGCCCAGCCCGTACTGCCACCCTCTTCTCACATCTGCCCCAAGTGTGCCCTGGCCTGAGACTGGATTCAAGGCTGCCCTAGACACGTTTATAGATTGCCCTGTGGATTCAGAAGCTTGTCGGCTTTGTCTGGCATGCTGCCCCACTGTCCCCTGCCCATGCTGTCCTGCACTAAGCATGAAAGCAGTGTTCATTAAGGATTTGCCATATTGAATCACTTTCTCCTTTTCTGCCTTCAAGCTGCTGCTGTTTACCAGGAGAGGATATCTGAAGTCTTTTTTTTTTTTTTTTTTTTTTTTTTTTTTGAGACAGAGTTTCGCTCTTGTTACCCAGGCTGGAGTGCAATGGCGCGATCTCGGCTCACCGCAACCTCCACCTCCTGGGTTCAGGCAATTCTCCTGCCTCAGCCTCCTGAGTAGCTGGGATTACAGGCACGCACCACCATGCCCAGCTAGTTTTTTGTATTTTTAGTAGAGACGGGGTTTCACCATGTTGACCACTTGGTCTCGATCTCTCGACCTTGTGATCCACCCGCCTCGGCCTCCCAAAGTGCTGGGATTACAGGGGTGAGCCACCGCGCCCAGCCTGAAGTCTTATTTAACCTTCACGCAGACCAAAGTTAAAGTCCTCTCTCCCCACCAGGGATGGGGTCGGGGGTGCTGGCAGACAGCCGGGGCTCAGAGGCCCCCTTCAGCTCAGGAGAGCCTGTCTTTACCCCAGGCTATTTGCAGATGGTGCCACGCTGGGCTGCCTCTGAGGCCCTTCTCTAGGAGTGATGACGTCTGGCTGGAGTATCTATTTGTGATTCTCGGCTTACCTGCTACAGAAACATTTTAGATGCTTGTTTAAAAATAGGCTTTCCTGGATCCCACTCCAGGGCTATTGAGTCAGAATAGCTGGGGTTGAGGCCAAGCGTGTGCATGCTAGCAAGCAACCCAGATGCCTCCAATGAACGCTAAGGTTTGCAAGCCTTTGTCATAGGATTGGTTCTGAGTTTTTGGGCCCTAGAATCATTAGCTTGAAATAAGCTTGTCCATACTGGGCATGTGCAGAACTGGAAAGTGAATTATGAAAGGATAAAAAAGTGAGCTGTGGATGACCAAACCCAGAATGACATATTCTAGAACTCCAGTTATCCATATTGCAGAACTCACTGTAGCTCGTGTGAATGGCACCAACTGTGTTGTTCAGTGTACATCCTGCACATCTGTACCTAGCAGTCCTGCTCAGACCCTCTGACCCCTCTGACACTCCTAGGACATTAGACACCCCTAACGTCCTGAGGGTGGGACAATCCACGACACCAGCCAAGCTGTCTACACAACTGCTTGTGTTGGGCAGAGCCAGGCGAAAGGAGGCTTCTGTGTCCTGGGAGCACAGGCCTCGCCCCTGTCTCTGAGAATGGCTGAGGCTGTCACAGTCCTGAAGGCATCCCTTGTCCTGAGGGTGGGGCGATTCTTACCTGCAAGCCAACTTGCTTGGATAGCCTCTTCTTAGAATCGGGAGGTGAAGTTCCTGAGGCTGTTGGCCCCGGCTAAGGTTCCCAGCATGTTCCTATCGAATCCTTGCTGCAAGGGAAAAAAGGCAACCAAATGACACAAAACTGTGTGGGGCTTGCTCTGGGTCAGACACTGTCCACCACCCTCCCAGAGCATCCTCGGCTCACCCAGCCTCTGCTCTTACCGCTATGTACATGTGTCAGGGCTAAAACCGGGCTCGTTAAATGTGCAACCAATTATAACTCTCCACGAGTTGGTGAAATGTGTTTGAACTTCCACTGGCATGTTTGAATTTCCTACTTGCATTCGTAGAAACCTGAGTCAAAGCATGAAGATGTAGGCTGGTACTCATTTGTTTTTAAACAGAGCAGCAACCAACAGCAGATCAGAGAAGTCGTCCGTTGTTCTTCCCTCTGACCATCTCTATCGTTTTTTTTTTGAGACGGAGTTTCATTTTTGTTACCCAGGCTGGAGTGCAATGGCGCGATCTTGGCTCACTGCAACCTCCACCTCCTGGGTTCAAGCAATTCTCCTGCCTCAGCCTCCTGCGTAGCTGGGACTACAGGCGTGCGCCATCATGCCCAGCTAATTTTTGTATTTTTAGTAGAGACGGGGTTTCACCATGTTGACCAGTATGGTCTCGATCTCTTGACCTCGTGATCCACCCACCTCGGCCTCCCAAAGTGCTGGGATTATAGGCGTGAGCCCCCACGCCCAACCTTTTTTTTTTTTTTTTAACAACTCTGACAAGACCTCTTGGGCAGAAAGGACATGCCCAGTGTTTCTCAAACACAGGAGCAGGGGCTAGCACTGGTGAGAAGCTGCTGTGCTAGAAGGTTATGTTTACTTGTCTGCTCTCCCCCTCCAGCCCCACTAGCCCCTGAGTGGCTATTTGATGGAGAGTGAGTCTTGTTCCTGTTATTCCTCCTAGCATACAGCAGGTGCAGTACATGCTTCCGAGTGAATGTGGACAGCGTAATGTGAATGCAGCAATAGACTTAGGTGCCCTGGAGAAGAGGGTCCTGTTGCCAGCCCTGAGCTCTGAGAGCCAAGCCAGCCATCACGGACCTGTGGGAACAGGAGGGGAGATGGCATAGGGGATCCGAAACAGCAGCTGGTTTGAAGCCCTGCTCCTGCCGCCTTTAAGCATGTATTACATGATGCCGTTTTTCCTCTGCAGATTTGCATGCTCATTCCTGTCGAGCTTGGCTCCTGCCCTGACTCACTGAATCAAGATAAACTCCTTGGACCCTGATTCCCATTCAGCAAAATGACACAAGCCATGTGGCCTGTCTCACCTGTGCTTGTGACAACTCAATGTGTGGTGGATGTGAAGTCACTTTGGGAACAAAAGCACCAATTAGATGATGCCCAAGGTTGTTGTCAAATGCACCTGGAGGGAGGGCTGGAGGCTGAATGGGGATGCTGGTTCCCAAAGGCATCAGGAAGAAGGGAATTCCCATGGAGGGTGATGTCAGTGGATTCTGTGTGTGTCTTAGGCCAGGGGTGGGCTCTGTTTGTGCTTTGGTGTAGGCTCAATGCTTTGGACCACCATCACACAGTGGGAGGAGGCTCTCACTGGTCCTCCTCCCTTTTCCCTTTGTTTACCTGGCAGCTGCCATTTGCCAAGCCCACCCTCACTGCAGTGCTGTTAGAAAGGAGGCCTAGCAGAGACGGGGTTTCACCATGTTGACCAGGATGGTCTTGATCTCTCGACCTCTACTAAAAATACAAAAAACTAGCTGGGCGTGGTGGCGCGTGCCTGTAATCCCAGCTACTTAGGAGGCTGAGGCAGGAGAATTGCCTGAACCCAGGAGGCGGAGGTTGCGGTGAGCCGAGATCGCGCCATTGCACTCCAGCCTGGGTAACAAGAGCGAAACTCCATCTCAAAAAAAAAAAAAAAAAAAGAAAGGAGGCCTAGCTTGTCACATGGAGAACAAGGGCCACTCTTTGCTGTTACCTTCAGGTTTCCCCAGCCATCTTTGGTCACCATGGGTTCCTGGTCTCCCTATTGTCCCCTGCTGTGCTGGAGGAAGAGCTATGCCTCCTTCTGCCCCAGGCTACTCAACCGGTCCCCAGGCTTCCCTGTCCTCCATCCCTGTCCTTCTTCCTTCTCTGCCAACTCCCTTTCCTCCCATGACAGAGATGCTTGGGTCCCCTCTGTCTTTAAACAGATCTCTTTTTACACACTCTTTTGCTCCTTTTTCTCCAGGCCAAATTGCAGTGAGCAGCGTCTCCTCTGAGAACCTCCCCATCCATCCCCACCCGCTGCCCTGCCCGCTGCAGCAGGCCCCATGAGGCTCCCCTTGCTCGGTCAGCAGTGCTCCTGGAGGGCTCCAGAGACTTCTGAAGCACCTGATCCAGGGCCTTTCCCGGTGTCCATCCCCTGGTCCTCTCAGTAGTGCTGGGAACTGCTGCCCTGACTTCCTTAGAGCTTTCTCTGCTCACCAGATCTTCAGCCCCTTCTGGCGCCCTGTGCAGTTCCTCCTGTACGGTTTCCTCCTTGTCTCCAGTGGATGGTCTGCATATTTCTGTCCTGTCCCTCAAGACTTTTCCATATACATGCATCCCGTTGTGATCTCGCCTGTTCTCATGGCTCTGCCTGCCTAAACAAAGCTCCACTCTATATGGTAGCTCTGACCCCTCTGCCAGGCCTCACACTACCTCTAGCCTGGACACCCATCCCGGTCTTCCAAACCCAACCTCTCCAAATTGGGACTCCTCTTACTCCCACCTCAAAGCCTTCTCAGCCTCCCCGATCTGATCTGTCTTTGTGAATATAACCACAGCCTCCAAGCTAAAAGCTGCAACCTCATCAGCCCCACTACTCTGTTTCTTCTGCCTCCTGTACTTTACGTCCATCCTCATCACCGAGGAATGGGAAAGACCCGGGGCCATGTGAAGATGTCATACAACGAGACCTTATACCCTAGAAGACTCTGTACCTGGTTAGGTGGGGAGGGGTTGAGGACAGAGAGGAGGCCAATGTCACCACAGGACAACATGTATTTAGCTTGTATTTAGCCACAACTGTGGAATAGAAATACTAGTTATGGAATTATGCTGAAGAAGAGAATGTAAGGAATGTTCTTTATTACCTTAATTCCCCTTACTCCAGGGTTGCCACAGGCCTATGCAGGATTCAACCTTAGGGTGGATCTTGATTGGTCTGTGGTCTACCCTGGAGAAGACCATGCGTTTCTACACATGGCTTAGCAGGCCCTTCGCCCTTTGGTGATGCTGGGCTTCCGCCTCCATGTTGCCATCTGCCACCTTCCTTTCTCTGAGAGGAGGATGGAGGGTGTGGCCATTTGTAAAGGCTTTTGTGGTCTATTTTGTCTGTAATCTGCAAGACACGCAGATTACAAACAGATGTCCACTGGCAGCAGAGAACAGAAGTGGGGCTCCTCCCACCACGGCAACTACATTCACAGCAGGATCCTGTGAGGGCTTTTGTCAGGGCTGAAGTCAGTCTGTGTAGTTTGGTTGGACTTCAGATCATTCAAGTGTTCTCTTTCAATTATAGACAAGGACAGCAGCCTGCAGGCTTCTCAGCCCACCCTGCCTTGCTCACGGTGTGGGATTAGTCTTTCTAGTGCTGCTTTGATCATGAGACCCTCTATTCAAAACTTCGAATGGCCCCTGGGGCCGAAGGTACAAGTCCAAGCTCTTTAGTCTGAAATAAAAAGGGTTTTGTAATCTAGCTCCAACCTACTCTTCTAGCTAGAACACACACCATGCCCTCAAGTGGCTTGTGTGCTTTTTGTCCACCCTGCTTTTCAGTTTGCTCCTAAAGGATCCCACCCCAGGCCTCTCACACGTGTTCTTGGTTTCCTCTGCCCTCCATGTTCTCAGCATGCCTCGCAGATCCCAGAGTCTAGAGACCTGATGAGAATGTTTATCACACTCATTTTCATATAGATATGTCTTTGTTTCTCAGACTGTCCTGAGGGTAGGGTTGTTTCTCCAGTGCCCAGCCCAGAGCCCAGCATACGCCAGGCACTCCGCTCATGTGCAGGAAGAACTCAGAAGAGGAAGATGTCCTGGGCTCTTACCTGTCTGAGGACACCCTGCAGTTCCTTGCTGGACCACATGTCAGACAGGAGAAGTCGGGCAGCTTCTGCAGCCTTGGGCGAGACGCTGGGTAGTTGAGAAGCACAGTTGTGAGATGAGATTCCAGGAGGCGTGAGAAGGAACACCCTCTTCCCTCTCACCCCCATGGCCGGGGCCTGGACACAGGGGAAGCCTCAGAGGAGGCCTCAGGTGTGCAAAAGAGAGGAGCCCCATTGAAGTGTGGTGAGCCTGGTCACCGTATGCAGTGGGCACGACCCCATGCACCTGCCCACCTAGAGCTCCCCAGGACTCTCCTCAGGGGCCGTGAAGTGGTAGTGTTCTTCCACTCCAGTCCCCAGCCCTTGTCCTGGGGAGAGGGAGCTCTGCAGAGCAGGATCAAGTCCTTCTGCAGTTGCACCTGCTGCCCCACGCCTCTTGCTGGCCCTGTGAGGACCCTTTGCCCCCAAGTCCCCCAGCGGGAAGTGTGTTGCCTCTTCCCTCTGTGCAGCCCGGAGGACTGGATGCTGGACCCTTCGCTCCACGTGCTCTCGGCTTCTGGAACTTCTCCATTCAAGCCTTCCGCGTCCCCAGCTCGCCCTGCCCTGAGTGCTTCCCCTGCTCCATGGAGAGCTGCGGGACGGCCTCCTGCTGTGCAGGTGAGGAGGGGCACCGACTGGGGCCTAGCCCGTGGGGTCACCCCGCCCACCTGCTACGGCACAGATTGATGACATTGTTGAGCATGCTGCTGGAGAAGTACTGCCTGGCCAGCTGTGGCTGCGAGGTCATCAGGTTCCTCACGGTGTAGCAGGCCGAGGACAAGATGTCTTCGGAGTTGCTGGTGTTGCCAGTGTGGCTGGTGAGAAGCCTGGTCACCTCCGAGAACACCTGGTTCCCTGGGAGAGGAAGGAGTTGGGGCACAGGGTCAGGATGAGTGAGGGGTTCCCTCTGGGTCATACTCTTGGATAGCCTTCTGCCAGGCTCTGAGCCAGGTGGCCTTCAGGGCTTCCTGCCAGCTCCAACTCAGAGCTGAGAGACCCAGAGAGGGCCTTTGCAGACCTGCTCCCAGGGCTTAGGTGACAGGCCCCCTCCTGTCTCCACACCTGCCTTTGGCCAGCTTCTTTTCCTGGAATGCTTATCCCAGGGAGTGGCTTAAAGGGTGACCTTCCCACAGGCTTCGAGTTGTAGGGAGCCTGCCATGTCCTGGCTGGAGGGGGAGGAGATGGAGGGTCTTACCCATCACTCTGTGCAGCACAGGGTGGCGAGACATGTTGCTCAGGAGGGAGGCTCCGGACCGCACCACATCAGAGTTGCCAGATTGCAGGAGGCGGGCAATTTGCGGCAGGCCCTTTTCCTTCAGCCCAATCAACTGGCTCATGCCACTGGACATCTAAGAGAGGAGAAGCGGGTGAGGAGCTTGCCTGTGGCTTCCCAGGCACCACGGCAGGCAGAAAGGGGCAAGGAATCCCAAAGGCAGACATCCCAGAACCCTTTCTTGTTCACCTTGGAAACACTAGCAGACACAAAGATCTGCTCACACGTGGGCTACAGAAACCCAGGCTAACACACACCTCCCCTTTCCTGCCCTGATCCTGTCTCCCAGATCAGCCCACAGCCCAGATGGATGGAGAGAGAGAAGTCTCATTTCCCTTACTCATAGTGACCCAGAGTCAGCTTCTAGACTAACCCAAGCGTCTGACGCTGCTCTCATCCGTCTCAGCGCTGTGCCCGTTACATCTCCCAGTGCTACCTGCCCATATGAAACTATATGGCCAAGAGTGTGTGTCAGTTAAAGATCTGGCCATCTTCTTCCAACTTCCCTACCTCTCTAGAATACAACATATTTGTCGATGGCTTGCCTGAGAAAAGAGGGCTAAGAGAGGGTCTAGGCCCCCATGGAGACAGAACTGGGGTCCCCTAGAGGTAGGCTGCTTGTCCAGGCCTCTAAGCAACACGGCTGCCCTGGGTGTAACAGGTCCAGGTGGGCTTGGTGTTCTCGGAGCTGCCCAGCCTCATTCTTCACAGCTGGGGAAGTTTTCTGCCCTCAGTTCACTCTAGAGCTGCTGCTGCTCAGTTCCCTTGCCCTAAGTAAAGCTGAAGAACAGGGGCCCACCTGGCCCATCTCCACTCCTCCCGATTGCAAACAGGTTTCCTCTGGCTCCACCCCATACCACTGTGCCCCCCAACCCAACATCTATATGCATTCTGTCACATCTTCTCTGGACCTGCTTGGACCCTAAACCCTCTTTTTCCACCTTTGTCAGTTCAACAAATGGGACACTCCTTTTGCCACAAACACCCTCTCCTCCCCTCTCCCTGACCCCAGGCAGAGCCCCTGGGACCAAGAACCATGTGGCCAAGAGGGCTGTGGGCATGGACAGAATCCAACCTCAGTGGACCCACCCAATCTGTGGCCCCCAGCAGCTCCCAAAGGGCAGGGGCATTTCCCCAGTGCCCAGCCCAGAGCTCAGCATATGCCAGGCACTCTGCTCATAGGAAGCTCCGAAGCCAGGGGTCAGCGTGGGGGCAAAAGCAGGGAGCAGTGGCTGGAGGATGGGGTGCTGCGGGAGGGAAGGTGCAGCCCCACTTACCAGCCCCTTGCTGGCCGTCAGGTTCTGCAGGGCACCCGCACAGGCCTCCAGGGTGGCATCTTTCTTGCTCTTGCCCATGAGGTTCAGGTAGGTGCGGATGGCATCTGAATGGTACAACCAGCCACTGCCCTTGGGGTTGGTCTCCTCCTCGGGCAGGGGGCAGTCGAAGTTGTTGTTCTGAGGAGGGAGGGCAGGTCAGTGGGGTCAGTGAGGAGTCTCATGAGACGACATGACGCAGGCACTCTGTCCCCATCTCCCCAGCCTCAAGGTTGTGGTTCCAGATAGGGCGAGCTGAGGACCTGCCTGTGGAGGCAGGGAGCCTAGGACCGCCCCACAGCACCCCTGTCCTCTGCGCCCTGCAGCAGCTCCATGGGCTGCAGGAATGGGCCACGGTCCTCCAGAATTCCCAGGGCATGGGAGAAGAGGGCATCCTGGCATCCTGGGAACTGTGCTCCAGGGCAGCCTCGGCCCAAACCTTCAGATACATGGGGCTGCTTTGGGTTCTCCCATTATGAAGCTTCCTCTCCATCCAGACTCAGAAAGTAGGTTTAACCCACCCCGGACCAACGGGGGTGGTCCTGGATTCCACAGCAGAGTCCAGTGAAGGAGGCCTGACCGCCCCTCCCCGGCAGGCTTCTGCTTCCGGGGAAACCTGGGAGGGCTCAGGAGATGGTGGGAACCAAGGCCAGAAAGGTTGAGAGTTCCGGCTTCCCTCAGATCCTCAAGGGTAAGGGAGAAGATGGGGGAGACTTGACCCATTATGCAGTAAGAAAGACCAAGGCCTGCAAACAGAGGGCTGGAGTTTCTGACCTCTAAGGTGGTCTAGCCCCTATAGTTCCAAGAACAGATTCCCCGCTGTGCAAGACGAATGGCCTCTACCCAGTGCCCGGAGTGCAACAGGAGCCCCAGCCAAGGCTTCGGCCTGGGCCTGGCCCTTAGGACTGGCGTCAGGCCCCAGGAGGGCCCAGTGGAAAGGGCAGATGAAGCGGCGGCACCTGGTGGGTGCTCGATGGGCAGGCCCCGGCCCTGCCGATGCTGGACTCACCATCATCTTGTCACTCTTGTTGCTGAAGCAGCCAGTGGAGGATTTCTCGGTGTAGGTGTTGCGGGCGTTGTACTCCAGTTGGCGGTAGCGGGTGGGCACCTCGGCGTCCAGGCGGTAGGAGAGGTTGTGCAGGACACACATGCAGTTTTCCACGGACTGGGGACCAAGCAGAGGCAGGGGCCTGACCCTCCACCCAGTCTGATAGGCTCCTGGCCTGCCACCTATCCCTAACTAATAAGAGAGCAGAGGCCCCTGGGCTGCATCGGGAGAGACGAGCCCAGGCACCCAACACTCTCAGCCCGGAAAGTCTCCCAGGGCCACCTCTGGGACCTGAGTTTGAGTCTGCCATTTCCTGGCTGTGTTAACTTGACCGGCCTCACTTCTCTGGACCTCAGCTTTCTCAGCTGTCAAATGGGACTACAGTCATCCACTTCACTAGGCTGTTGGAAATAGGATACAGAGAAAGTAATTTTCATGGGACCTAGCATGTGGTAGGACTGCTATGACAACACGCCCATGGGCAGACTGGGATACTGAAGAATGCATCTTTCCTCCCAGAACAAACTCCTCCAGAAGAAACCCCATGCCTCTAGATGCCAAAGCCATCCAGTGCCCCCATCATTCCCTCTTCCCATGACCAGTCCTCGGCTGTCAATGTCAGCGGTGCTAACTCCACGCAAACAACACCCAGGGCTTCATCATGGCAGCCGGGCCCAGAATGTTGTCAATTTCCTTTGGCAAACCTCCAAGACTAGGGTTTGGGAGCAGCATATTTACCCTCCCTAATGTCTGGGCCTTGCTGGGGTCTAAGGGAATCTGACTTCTGGGGCTTACAGGTACTGGGGATGTTGCGTCCACAGCAGAAAAGCATCTTGCCCGTTGGAACCAGGCTGAGCAGCCCAGTGACACGGCTCTCAGATGCTTGGGTGAGTCACTGTGAGCTGACTCACAGTGACCCAGAGCTACTGCTTCCAGTGCGGGGAGCAGGAGATAAAAATCCCTCCTGAGGGAAACTGTGCTGAGAACCGAGGTGCCGTGATGCCCAGCCAGTGCCCTGGTGATCTGGGGCCTGCTGGACCTGTCTCCTGAGCCACTGTCTGCCGTGGTGGGGACATAGCAGCCTTCTGTTTATCTGCCCTTCCGCACTTGTTTTTCTTTCTGTTTGTGCTGTGGGTCCAGAAGTCTAGAGAGGGCAGGAAGGTGACTCTGCCAATGGCTTTTCTGGGCGGCAGAGGGAAGACAGCAGTGGCAGAAGGAGCCTCGTCTCAGAGGACACTAAGCCCGGGAGCACCAATGTGGATTCCTTGGGGCTGCGGGGCAGGGTTCAGGCTGCGGGGCAGGGCTTGGCAGCGCCAATGCCAGCACAGCCAGCAGACACTGGCTGGGAGCTCCCTCTGTGCCAGGCCCTCTTCGTGTTTTGTTTTTTAACTAATCAAGTCCTTCACACAACCCTTGAGGTTGATATGATCATGACCATTTCCATGAGAGTGAAGCGTGAACTGGGGAACAGAGATTAGGAAGCAGCTGCATCCACTCCGCTTCTAAGTGCGGGAGATTGGATTTGCACGGGCACGCTGTCCCCAGAGCCCACCCCTGGAGCCACCACTAGGCCCTGTATCCAGATGCCCCCTCTACCACCCCTGACTCTTTGCTCCTGTCTTGTCACTGGGCCAGGCCTCGGAGGCACCCAGAAAACATAGTGGGCTGGGCCTGGGGGTCGGGGTACCACCAGGGGAGGCACTCACCTTGTCGTCACAGCGGCTGGCCGCCACACAGTTCTGGACATAGGCCATGAGGGAATCAATGAGCCCTGAGTAGTTACGCATGGCCTGGCGGCCTGCATCGGCTGAGCTCAGGTTCCTGGGGGAGAGGACAGAGGGTGGGAGAGGGGAGAGAAAGGGAGAAGAATGAACAGGGAAGGTGGGGACAAGAGAGTGTGGTGGGGGACAGGCAGGGGAGGGGAGAGCAGAGAGGAGATGACGAGGTGGAGGTTGGAGGTTGTGGTAGGTGGAAGGATGAAGAGGAAAGAGAGAAAAGGAATGAAGAGAAGAAAAGATGAAGAAAAAGGAAGGAAAGAGAAACCATTTAGCCAATTCTGCCTGGCCCTGGCTGAAGCTGAAATGAGGTCTCATTTGCACTCAGTTCTTCTCCCCCTTTGCTCTGCCCAGTAACTTTATAACTGGCAATGGCCCCTCGGCAGCTGCAGCCCAAGGCTCACACCTGCTACTAGTGGCCCTTTGTGGAACAAGAGCTGGAAGCTCCTGCATGCCCAGTCTCTTTTTTGTGGGGCAGGGAGAAGCCCTGTTGATGCTGGATCAGAAGTGGAGCTGCGGGTGGCCGGGCTGGGCACCAGAAGCTCCCTCTCCATGCAAGCTGTGTTCTGCCCCTAGCAGTAGGCTCGTTCCAAGCAATCTGGGCTCATCAGCCTGGTGCAGGCGAGGTGTGACTACAGTAGTACTTCAGCCCCATAAAACTCTTAATTACCCTGGGTTTTCATCTCCCCAACCTCTCTGCTTCCTGGGGCCTGCTGCTGAGGCTGGCAGGGAGAAGCACAAGTTGAGACACAGAGGCACATGCCAGCTGCACCTACCATTCTAGGGCGGTGAGGGGGGTGGTTCTCAGGAGTTGGGGAAGACAAACCCCATTAGACCAAGTTGGGACCCTAAAAGAGGTCCTGCTCCAGGGCTCCAAACCACCCCTCCCACCAGCTTGTAAACCTCCGCTTCTAGAACAAGCCCTCCAACCAGCTGCCACGCCCTGGTACGGAACTTAGAAAACTTTGGCCAAAGCAGTGCCATCTTCATGCCAATGCACACGGCAAACGGTTTTAACACCACAGCCGGGAAGTGACTCATTAGCAAGCAATCGGTAGACTTTTGAATAAAAGAACACTCTTCAAGATAGCACAAGAAATGCATTTTTTCAGGGGGAGGAGGAGGGAAATGATTGAACCAGTTTGGATATTCAGACCCAGGCATTTCCACTCACGGATTCCTGACTAGTGTCCGCTGCATTCTCTCAAAGTGGGTGGTAGGGTCCTGAGCCTTATCCAGATCCAGGGACGTTAGGAGGGCCTGAGCCCCTGTGTCCTGGAGCCTGCCCAGAAGAGCCAGTGCCGGCTTGTCTATTATGTTTGTTCTATGCGCTGGCAGAACGTTGGCTGAAATGGGGGCATCTGGGGAAGGGCCCAAGACTGGGACAAGAAGGCCCCATGTGTCCTCCTCTCTCACCTCAAGCAGCCCGTGGCGTTGAAGAAGACCTCAGGGTCCACCACTTCCCGGGACATGTTGCTGTTGCCATCACACCAGCCAGAGAAGGGAATGATGACGCGGTCGGCCAGAACAGGCAGGGCGTCGGCAATGAGCTCCTCCTTCAGCTCATCAGTGGAAGACAGGTTCCAGAGCAGCCCTGGGGATCAGAGACCATCAGCCCAATTTGTGCCAGGCTCGGGAAGCCCTAGGGATCAAGGTAACAGCACCAGCCTGGACTCTAGCAAATGGACCCCACTGAAACGTCACCTTCCAGGTAGGCCTGGTTTACAGAACCTATTGTCTGACTGTCCCTTGCGGCCATTTCTCACTGTCCCAACCAGACTGCAGGTTCTTTGAGGTCAGGGAACATCTCAGAGTTCTCTGTCAAGGCCAAAATTATGCATGTGGAAAGTGATTTAAAAACGTTTGATTGATCAGTGGTTTTTAGTATACATTTTAGCACTCGGGCTCTTCTAATGCTCTCTTTTCCATCTGAAAGTCATTCCAGAAATATTTATCCATCGTTACTCTGTACACAGTCTGACCTTCCCAGTCTGTGACTTCTTCCCCTTGTGCCCCCAACCTTGAGTGCTTATCATATTTCTTGAACACAGGGTATGTGCTTAAGACCCATTAACCCCTTCCCCCTCAGCCTTTCTCTCCATCACCTGCGACCCCCAGGGCTTGCGGAATATGATCTTGCCTGGACTCCAGCCTTCCCACTCTTGCTCTCCAACCTCTAAAAGATGGTGACCCCTTGTGTGTGTGCACACCACCCAGGCTCACCCTCTGGACACCCCAATCGGGTCAAGGCCAGTGTCGCTAAACTCTCAGGATATTAGCCCCAGGCCAAATCTGCCCGCTGTGTCTTGTCCCAGCCTGGAGGGATTGGCTTGCACCCCAGCCTGGGGCCACAGCCAGTGGCCTTGCACAGCCCCCACCATGGTGTCCTACCGGTCAGCTGCTTCTGGATCTCCGTGTTCCCGGTTCTCCTCAGGAGGCTGACAGCCTCGCGGATCCCATTCTGCCTCCGTGTCTCCAGCTTGTTGGTGGTGCTCCTGAACACCAGGTTGCGCAGGGCCCCCGCCGCGGCCTGCTGGACGTTCTGGTTGGGGCTGCGGAGGAGGTCCACCAGCTTGCAGATGCCTCCCAGCTGATAGACCTGCCGGGAGAGAGTCGCCGCGCCACCTGGTCAAGGGTGCTGAGGTGGAGCTGACCATTCTATACTCAGAGCTGATTTTTTTTTTTCAGACCAAAAAAGATCTATCAGTTCAGAAAGATTCAAGTCAACCAAAATAAATAAGCAATGTGAGGTCATGATAACTGACCCAGATCGTGAACAGAAAGACCGGGATTCAGATCCTAGCTCCCATATCCTAGTTGGGAGACACTCAGCGACGGTGCCTCCTGTTTTCTGAGCCCTGCTTTCCTCCTCTGGAGAATGGTGGTGAGGACCCAATAAGAAAGTGGATATAAATATATTTCAAAACCATCAAGCAGAACACAGACAAAAGGGAAACTCTCTCCTACGGTAGAAATGGATGCAAACTTATCCGGGACTCTGGGAAACACATTCATGACACGGCATCCTTGGGCTGAACTGCAGGGCCCTATGGTGTCCCTCCGGCCAGCAAAGCTTTGGAGCATCAACAGGCCCTCTTTTCTAAGATGCCTGAAGACAGAGGGGAGTGGGAGAGAGGAAGCAGGTGGGAGGGCAGGAGTTGAGAGGTGTGGAGCAGTCATATTCTTCGGCGGGATTTGAGAAAGGGGAGTTCTGTTGAACCCATGGTTGGCATTGAAATGTCTCTTCCATGACCAGCGGAGGAAATGTCTGCTGCCTAATGTCCACTTAAACAGAGGGCTTTGCTCTGCAAAAGGTTACGACACCCAGCTCTAACCTTGGGCAATGCGAAGGCCCCTGGCAGCTGGGCAGGGCAAGAAGGAGCCAACTGCAGATCCCTCAACCCATCTCTAAAAGCAGAGTCTGGCTGACACATCCAGGCCCTGTGCAGACCCACTAAGGAGGAAAGTGTGCAGCCAGCTACCTGTTGCTTGGCAGATTCATCCTGGAAGCAGGTATGCTGTATGTAATAGGCCCCAATGGCCTGGAACTTCTCATCCTGGGAGCTCAGGTACTGCACAGCCTTAGGGATGGTCAGCCCACTGCATTCGATGTCCTCACTGCAGATCCTGTGAAGAATGGGCAGTGGGGGTGGTTACAGGCTGGGCTGGGAGCCCTGGGGAGGGGGCTCAGAGTTCCTCCTGGCACACTAAGCTGACATAGCCTCATCCGCCCTCTGGAAAGCCAAAACAAGGCAGCCCAGGGCCACTTGGAGAACACCCTGGGAACGGCTCCTATCCTCCAGAGGAGGGAAGGCTACACCCATTGGATTTTCCCCACATGAGAATAGTGAGCCCCTGGTCACAGTCAATATCCAAGCAAGTATATTTTCTCTGCACTGGGGAAAATTTCCTCCCTATTCCCTGAGGTGAAGCTTCCCACCCACCTTGCCACCTCTCTTGTTTTTGCCTGTATTAGGGAAATGGAAGACAATGGCCATGAGCCTATCCACCATCCATCCATCCACCATCCATATCCACCATCCATCATCCATCCATCCATCCTCCATCCATCCATCCTCCATCCATCCATCCACCATCCATCCATCCACCATCCATATCCACCATCCATCATCCATCCATCCATCCACCATCCATCCATCCTCCATCCATCCATCCACCATCCATCCATCCACCGTCCATCATCCATCCATCCATCCACCATCCATCCATCCTCCATCCATCCATCCATCCATCCGTCCATCCATCCATCCATCCATCCATCCATCCATCCCTCTATCCATCCCCAAGTCCAGCTGGCTCTTACACAAACATTTTCAAATCTATCCTTTCTTCTCATTCTTATAGCCACCAATTTCCTGATCTTGATTACTTTAATGGCAGCAAGAGACTCCCATAATTGGATTTCTTCCCAAGCTCCCTCATCCAACGTTTTATACCCTTTTACTTGGTAAGTCTCCCTAAAACCCTGTTCACTGTGTTGTTCTCCAGCTCAGAAACCATCAGTGGCTTCTATCTACTTCAGGCTTATGTGTATACTGTTAAGCCTGATATCCAAGGGAAGGGATGAGGTTGAATCATAGGAAATGTCTAAATTCAACCTTTTTTTGAGCCACAAAACCAGAAATTTCATACGTGTTAACCTAATCACCCAGCTCCACCATGCCCCTTGAACATTCCCCAGCCCCTACCCTGGGTCTGCTCCAGCAAGACTGTCCCCTTCACAGTACCGTGGCCAGGTCTCAGGGATGCCTCAAGGCACACCACTGACCCTGCTGAAGCCCACCTCTGTGAAGCCCTCCCAGGGAAGGGAAACTTCTCTTCTAAGAACCTCTGCAGCCTCCCTGGTTAGAGTCACAGGGTGGCGACTGGCTGTATTCAGCGTTCAGAGAGGGAGCCTTCTCCTCATGCTCTGACATACCTGGTGCTCAATAAGCACTCACAATTCTAGCTGTAGCAACCCAACTTCACTTCTAAGAAAAACACCCAAGGTGCAGAGCTCTCTGGCACTAGGTTATTAGTACTGATGCCCACACTGAGAGAATGTCACCCTGCATTCGTCAGCAAAATGTCATCCCTAGATGGGTTGACACTCATCCCTTCCATATCTCACCCAGAACCTCCACTTAGGGCCTCTGGTTGGGGCAATGAGCTAAAGCCAGAGGCTGCCCTGATCAGCCTCCAAGAGAGAGAGGTTTCTTAGTTCTCCAAATCATCCCAAATGTGCCTTACAGCCTTCAAGTAGTTAAGAAAGGTCCAGCTCTCTAACGGGGTTCTGCTTATTTTTAGAACAGGTGGTACTGGCAGAGGGGAGCACAGGATGTAGAGTCAGCTGTGTGGCCCTGGACTAGCTACTTAACATCTCTGTGCCTTGTTTTCTCCTCAGGAATACTCACGCCTGCCTTTTGGGGGTTGTGAGGCCTAAAGATGAAGAATGCAAACCTCCAGAGGCTCTCTGAAAAGGAGTTCATAGTGTAGCTCCAGGACAGCTCTGGATTGTCCCTATCATGGCTGTGTTCCTGGCACTTGCCAAAGAGCCTGACATGTACTAGATGCTCAGCAAACATTTGCCAAATAAATAAATAACAATGAGCAGTAGGTGGCGATGAAGGACAGTTTAAAGGTTCAGGGAGCCCCCAGTCCTGAAGAGCAAGCTCAGTGTCACTCAGGACACCTATGCGTCTATGGCTCCTAACGGGGCACCCCATTTGGTCTCCTTCCCTTTCTCTGGGTGATGGCCTTCAACATCTATGCACAGGAGTTGCACTCTGTTCTGCAGCACTAGATCATGAAGCCACATGAAGTCCCTCAGGGTTTTTTATTTTTTATTTTTTGAGACAGGGTCTCACTCTGTCACCCAGGCTGGACGGCAGTGGCGCTATCTCAGCTCACTGCAAACTTCACTTCCTGGGCTTTAGTGATTCTCTTGCCTCAGCCTCCTGAGTAGCTGGGACTACAGGCACCTGCCAGCCATGCTTGGCTAATTTTCTTTTCTTTTTTGAGACAGGGTTTCCCCATGTTGCCCAGGCTGGTCTCAAACTCCTGAGCTCAAGTGTCCCCTACCCCCTGCTGCCTCAGCCTCCCAAAGTACTGTGACTGCAGGCATGAGCCACCACGCCCAGGCCATATCCCTCAGTTTTTCATGTTTATTCGTCCTGTTTGTCCTTCGGATTTACCTGTCTTATAACATAACCTAAAACCCATTCTATTCCCATCATCCATATCGGGGTGCATTCCTTTGCTCTTTCTGAACATGGATATTCTGAAATTTACACACCTAAGATCAGAGGTTCTCAAACTCTAGTGTAAATCAGAATCGCTGGAGGGCTTGTTAAAATGTGCATTGCCGGCCCCTCTCCCAGTGTTTCTGAGACAGTGGGTCTGGGTGGGTCCCCACAATGAGCATTTCTAACAAATTCCTGGGCGATGCTGATGTTGCTGGTTGGAGGAGCACACTTTGAGAACCATTAACCCTGCTAACCTTCTCTAATTAGACTCCCTCGAACAGTGAGCTTTAAAATCTACACAGTCCGTGTCTGGGTTCTGTTTCACCTTCACACCAAAAACTTCTTGAAGTCAGGGGCTCATCGGGCCAGGTTCTCCCCATCAGGGAGCCCATGATGCCGGGGACAATGAACTCCCCAGTGACAGAGGCTATGCCTCTCCTGGCATCCCAGGAGCACTTTGCAGGGCGCAGCAGCCCGGCTAAGGGTTTGTGTCCCACCTGGCCCTCCTGGCTGCCCAGCCCAGCCTAGCAGCACTCACTTGGAGCTGGCCCTAGAGTGGCTGAAGGACAGGTCCTTGTTGCAGGAGATGGGCGGGACATACACGGGGTCCTGCTTGGAGGCACAGGAGGGCGGGCGCACAGGGCACTTCTTCACGGCCTTCTGGCCACTGCAGGTGCTGTAAAAGCTGTAACGGTTCTGGGTGGTCTTGTGGCCCTTGCTGCCCAGCGTGCCCTTGCGCAGGGTGCCCCGTGGGTCACAGTAGAGGTCGGGCTCACTGCGGCTCGCCTTGATTTTCTGCATGAAGCAGATGTCGCTGCCTGCGCCGGTGGTGTTACAGCTGCCCCGCGGGTAGTGCCGGCTCCAGTTCTCCATCTGGCTGTAGGAGCTGAAGCGCCTGTTGTCAGGCTCCCGCTTGAGGGTTCCATTGTAGATCTGGGGAGGGGGAAGGGAGAAAAGCTCAGTCAAGGTTCCTAAATGGGGATCCTGGACCCAGCGGGCCATGAGATACAGCCCTCCCCAGCCCCCTCATAATGCTCATACGATCACAGAATGTTTGGTGTGGAAGGAACCTGAGCCATCATCTGATATATTACTTTTTCAACTATAGGCTGTGACCGATTATGGATTATAAAATAAATGTAGGGGCCGGGCACGGTGGCTTGTGCCTGTAATCCCAGCACTTTGGGAGGCCGAGGTGAGCGGATCACAAGGTCAGGAGATTGAGACCATCCTGGCCAACATGGTGAAACGCCGTCTCTACTAAAAATACAAAGAAAAGTTGGGCATGATGGCATGTGCCTGTAGTACCAGCTACTTGGGAGGCTGAGGCATGAGAATCGCTTGAACCTGGAAGGCGGAGGTTACAGTGAGCTGAGATCACGTCACTGCACTCCAGCCTGGGTGACAGAGTGAGACTCGGTCTCAAAAAAAAAAAAAAAAAAAGGAAAGAAAAATCAATTTAGAAGACTGTGATCATCATTTTTAAAAAAGAGGGAATAGAATAATATATCCTGGAATATAAAATATCAGCGTGCAATGTAGGTAGTAAAGTGATTGTTTTGTGAAGCAGTGTGTGGGTACTGGGTTGCAACGTGTGATGCATTTCTTTTTCTTTCTTTTTTTTTTTTTTTGAGATGGAGTTTTGCTCTTGTTACCCGGGCTGGAGTGCAATGGCGCGATCTCGGCTCACTGCAACCTCCGCCTCCTGGGTTCAGGCAATTCTCCTGCCTCAGCCTCCTGAGTAGCTGGGATTACAGGCACGCACCACCATGCCCAGCTAATGTTTTGTATTTTTAGTAGAGACGGAGTTTCACCATGTTGACCAGGATGGTCTTGATCTCTCAACCTCGTGATCCACCCGCCTCGGCCTCCCAAAGTGTTGGGATTACAGGCGTGAGCCACCGCGCCCAGCCTGATGCATTTCTTACTGTGAGTTGCTGTCAAAAATTTTGACAGACTCTGATCTGGTCCCACATGGTACAGTCCAGAAGAAGGAATTGGAGGCCCAGAGAAGAGGGTCCTTCTAGTTCACTCAGTGAGGAAAGGGCAAAACCCAGACTTGAGCCTGAGTCTCCAAGCCCTGTGTCATTCCCAGACACCAGCAACTCCTCACACAGCCAGCCTTCACTGGCCACTTAAACTCGGCACACGGAAATTTCTATTTTGGCCAGGATGGTTTACTACTGTTCTTTCCGCTAAGCTCTTCATCTTGCCTCCCCTCTGCCAGGGCAAGAAGCAAATTGTAACAGGTCACTTCAAAGGCCAAAGAAGGACAACAGTCCTGCTCCCTGGACCCTTTCACAAGGAACTGTGAGCTAGGGGCCCGAGGTCGCACGTGGAGGCAGGCCTGGGGCTGCACGGGGTGGTGCAGGAGGGCCCCCTGGACTTTGTCGTCAGGCTGGCAGTGGAGAAAAGCGGGCAGAGGCTCACTCCACCACGAAAACATACGATGGACCGTGAGGTGCCTCAGGGGCTCTGTGTGAGCCCAAGTGGGGAGTCAACCTCCCTGGGAGGAGCCGGTGAGGCTGGAGGCTTGGTGGGAATTAGTTCCGGAACAGAACTGTCCAAGGAGGACTTTCCCAGGAGCTCGCAAGCCGGTAGGTCTGGCCTGCTCCAACTTGTTCTCAGAGTAGAGGATCAACATCGGGTCTGATAAAAATGTCTCCACACAGGTGCTGACTTGGAACTCACCTTTGCTGGGATGGGCCAGGGCCAAACTGAGCAACCCAGGGCCTGCCCGCCTACCTCTGCCCCTCCCTGAGAGAGAGAGAGAGAGAGAGAGAGAGAGAGAGAGAGAGAGAATATGTATGTGTGTAGGGGAGGTCATTAGGCAACTGGGTAATTCCCTTCCACACCAGATCCGGCCACACAAGCCTGGGGAGGGGCTGGCACTCTACCTGGTCCCTTTTCATCTCTGCAGGGAGTCATAGTCAGCAGGAACCTCCCATGGCTTGAGCTCCCAGAAAGATTGGGTGTCAAACCACCAGTCAGAAGTTGCATCCAAAACCAAGAAGCCACAGACTGTTAACCTTGCCAATGGCCTGCTCATCCCCTTCACCCACACACCCAGCTGTGCACTCAGGCAGGCACAGTTTTCTTCCCCAAACTGGGTCAAACCAACCTACCCCAAAGAGAATCCGTGTCGGGTTGTTGGGAGCAGCACAGATGGACAAGCGCAAGGCGTGGGGAGAGGAGCTGGACAATTTTCTAAGCATCTGGGCATAGAATGCGTGCCTTGCAGATTACAGGCAAACTATGCCATGAAAATCTTTACAGATGGCCACACCCTCCATTCTCCTCTCAGGGGAAGGAAGGTGGCGGATGGCAACATGGAGGGGGAAGCCCAGCATCACCAAAGGGCGAAGGGCCGGCTAAGCCTTAAATGGAAACGCAACAAGGAGCACGCTTGTTCTCCGTAGATGACACGCCTGGACGTCATCTCAGACACCTGATGAGAAGCCCAAACACTCATCCTGGCCCAAACCCAGCAAAGATGTGATCATGCTGACTGAGCCTCACAGAGGCTTTGGGCTTTGCTTTCCTGTGCTGGGAAAAGGAGCAGCCAGTACCCTTGCCAAGTCTCAGCAAGGGTGGGCTGCCCACAGAGAATGGGCACTGGCTGCACCCGCAGGGGAGTGGGCAAGGTGTGGAAGGCAGGGACGTCCCTGTGGGACTGCATTTCCCAGTCTCCCACCATCAGCTGTACACCAGTGGCATCATTGGCATCACTCATTCCTGGGAACCTCACCCCAGCTCCCAGTGTCATGGTGCTGGTGGACTGTGCTGCTTGAGGACAGCTGGGTGTGATGCTCTCACGTCATCATGGTCCTTTGCTGTCACTTTGACAAGCAGGAGTAAAGCCTCCTCTAAGTCAAACCCCATCCTCCCCAAGTACCAGGAGGAGGCCTGGATTCCCTCCAAGGCACAAGGAGACAAAATGCCCCCAGCTCTCCCTGCACCAATGGCCTGGACCTGGCTGCAGCCTGCAGCGTTGAGGGCTGAAATGGCAGCAGCTGCCTGGGACACCGGGTGCGTCCTCCGGCTCACTGGGCTGAGACCTGTAAAGTGGAGGAAGACCCCAGTGTCAAGAACACAGACTCTGGAGCCAGCGTGACCTGGCCTTGTCCGTTGCCCAGTGGAGGGTCTTGGGCAAGTTACTTAAGCCCAACGTGCCGCAGTTTTTCCATCTGTAAAACTGGTATAATTATGCCCAACATAGAAGGTTGCTGGGAGAATCCAAAGAACTACTGTTTGTAAAGCACTTAGGACAGTCCATGACATGAGTGTTTGCTCAGTAGGGACATCCGTAACCCTCTGACTCTTAGATTGGGCACAGGCTGGCTGCCTGAGGACATGGCTCCTAAAGGAGAGACTTTATGTCACCCATGACATACCTAAAGGTGCTACCAGGTGTCATAAGAGGCAAGATGAACCCAGGAAGCCAAGACAGCCCAGGTGTATGCACCAGTATCGGAGCCCCATGCTAGTCTCACCCCACAGACACAGAACAGGCCTGAATATGTCTCAGAAAAGTAGAGGAGCACAGTCTGCCCAGATGCAGCACGTCGGGTGAAGCCAGGCTTTATGACGGATGGTGCAGTGTTCCTTTACGTGGGTGCCGTTGGCATCTGAGGCAGAACAACTCTTCTTTGTACAGGCTGTCCCAAGTATCTCAGGTGTTTAGTGCCCCAACCTCCAGGCTTTAAATGCCAGTAATGCCTCACAGTCATTGCAAAATGCCCCACACATTTCCAAACACTGTCTTCCAGGTCCCGAGCGAGCAGCTGCAGCCAGAATAGGATGCCCAGGCAGTGCACGTGTGCCCGCTGCAGGTGGGAGAGCTTCACTGCCAATGCCTGCTCTCCCAGCCACACCCCCACATTCAGATAGCAATCTGTTGGCAGCATCCGGCTCTTTGAATACAAAGAACAGTGACACACACTCAACCTCTTGTCTGGTTATCCCACGCTTCCTTGGGAAACTCCAGCCTCAGGTGGGATAGTCTGTGGATCAGAGCATTCCAGAGGCTGGAAACTCAGTTTCCTGGGAGCAGAGTTGATTACCCTGCCACAGAGCAGGCTAGCCTGGACAGCCAGGCAGAAATTCACAGCATCCCAAGAGACATGTTTGCTCACTTGGGAGACCAGTGGGGCTTTTGAGGGGTCACACAGTTTGAGGTGGGCCAGGAGAAGCTGCTTTTAGCTAGGAGTCCCCCAGTGAGCCCCTGCTCTGCTTCCTGCTTGTGTCATTCCCCTTCTTCCCTTCCTGCTTGGAGAAGTGGGGTGTTTTTAACCCCACACCGTAAGCTGCCCTCTCTTCCTGTTCCTCATTAAGTCAGGAAACTCTCAGAGGCCAACCCTTTCTTTATAGGTAAGGAGACAGTCCCAGAGGGTGACTGGACCACAGTGAAGCAATACGAGCCCCAGATCCAGGGCCTCAAAGAACTGAATGTGCCCAGCTGACCCTTGAGAGAGCCACTCAGACTGGAGTGGCCCCAAAGCTGGAAAGGCTCCTGATAGCCCAGGGTCATCGGACAGGCAGCGAGTAACCATTCAGAAAGAGATGGCGTCCTCCCGTCCTTCCATTCGAGAGTCCTTACTGACTCTCTCCTTTTACACCCCTAATGCCCAGGCTCTGGCCCCTGCTCTCATCAGCTTACCACTAGGCTACCCCAGCGTCTCCCACTGCTCCCGCCTAGCCCTCAGGGCTCTGGTCCCTGCCTTGCGATGCCATCACTCCACCTTCCTCAGCAAAGCTTTCACCAGCCCATGCCACGTTAGAGAACCTACAGCATCTCTGCTCCTTACCAGACAAACTCCTCAGCCCGCCCACCCTGCCTGTCCAGCCATCTCTTCCCTCCCCAGCACACCTGCCTAAGCTGCTCCGTGACCTCAGCCACATCCTAGGCTCCCTGCTTCTGTTCAGATGCTCCC